TTTTATGACTCGTGGACTTCAACTCCCAGAATTCCTGAGTCATAAAAGAGCCAAGGTTACCTACCCCTGACCTAGAGGTATTGGGGTTTGGATGGGGAACAAGAGGCTTCAGCTTCACCCTGGAAAGACTGAGTGGTTTTGGGTTTGGGGGCCACATGGATCTACGAATTTACCATCTTTGGTTTCGGATGGGGTTGCACTTCCTCAAGCAACCAGGTACCCAATCTGGGGTCCTTTTGGACTTGCGATTCCTACTCAAAGAGTAGGTAGCAGTTCAAGTTATGCATCGGCTGTGTTCATTTCTGCATCGGAATTTTTTTACTCAGTGACTTATGCCCTGATCACCTCCTGCATGGATTAGTACAATAACCTCTACTTGAAGCTGCTTTTGAAGAATATTTGGAAGCTTCAGTTGGTGTAAAATGAAGCAGACTGAACAATTAGATGTGCACCTTATACCCTTTTTCCGTAAGCTGCATTGGCTGCCAATTTGCTTCCAGGTCCAATTCAAGGTGCTGGTAATAACCTATAAAGACTGTTTGAGGGACCATCTTTCCCCAGGGACATCTACCCACCCCATCAGATTCAGTCAAAGAGGCTTGTTGCGTGTTCTATCCATAAGATAATGTTATTTGGTGAAACCCAGGAGGGGGGGGGGCGGACTTCTCTGATGCTGCAGCCGCCCTCCATGGAACATCATTTCCCCTCATGTCTGTCTGGCTCCAACCTTGCTGGCCCTCCAGAAGGCCTTGAAGACATGCCTTTGCCACTTGGCCTGGGAGCTGGAGAGTGTTCAGAGCCCATAAAATGCCTGCACTATTCTTGAATGGCTTGGCTCTCCACGTGACTGTATTGTATGGCTTTCGATTAATTGTTTGTAAAGTTGCATTGCTTATACGGCTGTTTTATTTATTTTTTAATCTTTTTGGTACTGTTTATGTTTTAATTGTAAGCCTCCTAAGTCATGAATGTAAGATTGAAATTAACAAAAAGCCACTTTGGTCTAGTGGTTAAGCCAGCAGGCTAGAAATCAGAGAACTGTGAGTTCTAGTTCCATTTTAGGCATGAAAGCCAGCTAGATGATTTTGGATCAGTCACTCTCTCTCAGCCCAACCCCCCATTCACAGAGTTGTTTTTGTGAGTTAGGGTTATTTATAAAAATAATGAAGATTGGATAAAAAGATAGATAGGTAAATAGATAAACAGACAGATAAATGTGGATGGTGAGGCAAATTTTATGATGCTTCATTCTCAGTGTCTGCAAACTGCAGCTGTCATGCCAGCATAGTGTGAAATACCTACTGTGGAGAGATTGGAAAGCAATGGTAGAGATTACATATAACAATCAGGAAGCAGGAAAGCAGAATACAGTAGAATTCTTTATTGGCCACGTGTGGTTGGACACACAAGGAATTTGTCTCCGGTGCATAAGCTCTCAGTGTACATACAAGTAATAGTGATAATCATGATCATAAACCACATGAAAATACATTCATCATTAAATCATAAAATACAACACTTCATCATAAATCATAAGATGCAACACTTAGTGATAGTCATAGAGTTCTAGCTAAGCAAACAACATAAATCATACTAGGATACTAAAAAACAATATACATTGTAACATACAAGCAACAAAGTTATAGACATGATAGGTAATAAGAAAGATGAGGAGTATCATAGTAATGCAGCTTTACTAAGTAGTTTGACAGTGTTGTAGGAATTAGTTGTTAAGCAGAGTGACAGCATAGAGGAAAAACTGTCCTCATGTCCAGTTGTTCTGGTGTGCAATGTCCTATAGCGTCGTCTTGAGGGAAGAAGTTGAAATAGTTTATGCCCAGGATGTGAGGGATCTATAGATATTTTCACAGCTCTTTCTTGCTTGTGCAGTATTCAGGTCTTCAATGCAAGGCAGACTGGTAGCATTTTTTTTTCTGTAGTTCTAACTATTTGTTGAACTCTGTGTCTGTCTTGTTTGGTTGCAGTGCCAAACCAGACAGTTATAGAGATGCAAATGACAGACTCAATAATTCCTTTGTAGAACTGTATCAGCTCCTTGGGCAGTCTGAGCTTTCTGAGTTTATCTTATAAAAGACAACTCTGCCTAGGTGGCAAACTGGGAAGAAATATTTTAAGTTCCCATTTTTCAAATCTGGCAACTTTTAAGTTGTTGAAGTCCACACACCTTAATGTTGCTAAGTTTGAAAAATATTATTACAAAGCATTCAAAAAGACTCTGCCTTAATTAAGTTTATATCTTACAATCTTTACAATGTAAGTTTATAAATGAAATTTATAGTTTGCAGTTTCCAAAATTCCATATTTTCCCCAAGCATTAAAGATACCTTATTGAACTGTAATTCTTGTTTCTTTGATTGTTTTTTTTTTGAGGGGGGGATATAATATTTACTTTATTCAAAGAAGGTCAAAATGTAAAATCTAAAGATCTTGGAATCTCGTTAACTTAATCTTAAGCAAGCCTCTCCAGATGAGGGAAGGCACAGGATAGACCAATATTTCTCAACCCCAATAACTTTTTAAGATGTGTAGACTTCAACTTCCAAAATTCCGGAAGCAGAAGTCCATCTATCTTGACATGGCAGAGGTCGAGAAACAGGGATTAGACCAGGGGTAGTCAACCTTGGCTCTTTTATGACTCGTGGACTTCAACTCCTAGAATTCCTGAGCCAGCACAGCTGGCTCAGGAATTCTGGGAGTTGAAGTCCACGAGTCATAAAAGAGCCAAGGTTGACTACCCCTGGATTAGACCCTCGCTCGCTCTTTTTCAGCATGGTCTCCTAATTATGCCAACTCACCCAGCTTCTTCCCCTAATCCCGAAGCAATGCTGTCATTCCTTTAGAAAAAAAAAATATGATCGTGATACTGTGTTCTCTGCAATATTTTGGCGAGGAGAAGAAGAGGTCGCCGGCCAATCCACAAGAAGCTTGGAAGGGCTCAGACTCTCTTGACAGGCAGCTTGGCCTCCGCCAGCCAAGCTTTGCCTGGGGGTCACGTGGGCGCGGCGCGCCGCTCCTCCCTCCCGGCCTCGGGCTCCTCCTGCTTTCGCTGCGGGGTCGCTTGGTTCCCCTCGCCCGCCCTCCGCCGCGCCTCCCGCGCTAGGTAATCCGGGTTGGGGTTGCCGTTTGCGGGTGTGGGCTTTGGCTTTGGCAGGGGGCGTGTTCCTTTCTCGCACCCTTCCAGCTGAGAAGGGCGAGGGGGCTGCGCTTAAAGAGCCCGGCGCCTGCGCTGGGGGGGGGGAGGCATTTTGTTTCCTTCCTTTACACAACCCGAGATCAGTGATCCCGGCCGCTTCGTCCGTTAGCCAGGACTGTAAATCAAAAGTGACCCCCCTCCCATCCCGCTTTGCCCAGCCTGCAAAATTTGCCTGGCAGAGCGGGATCGCTGCCGGGAGGGAGGGAGGGTGGGTAATTGGGCCCAGATCTGCCTGGCTTGGTCCCGGCGTGGTCGGGTCCCCACGGAGGGCTGGACCCGAGTCTGAAAACGCTTGTGGTTCTGTAGGGTGCAGAAGCCTTTCAGGAGGGCAGAAAGCCGACCAAGTGGGGATTTCACCGAATGTTCAACCGGGTTGATTGCAGCCTCTCTTTGTGATGATGCCGGTTGATGGTTGTTAGGGCTTACGCGTGCACAGCCCCAGGCGCAAGAACCCTTTGACGCCAGTGTGTGATGCGAATGTGGGAAACACGTGGCCTTCCAGGTGTTAACTGAGCCGCCGCATCCAATGTCCGGCTTCTTGAAATTAGGAGTTTAGTAACATCTGGAGAGGTCAGATGCCTTGGAAGGATGCAGGTATCGCACCCTCGTCCCATATTGCGTGGAGGAAATCTAAAACAATCCTAGGACCTCCGGTTGACCAGATAATGTTTTAACGTTTTGATCTTGCAATAGGCGTTGTATTTAATTGGTTATGCATTGACAGATATATTGTTATCGTGTTACAATCGTTTTTGGAAATCGGGTTGGTGAGTTTTTGTGAACTGGTGAAATAAAGTACACGAAGCAGCTTCAACAGAATGCTGTTGTCTACTTCAGACGTTTTAAGACTGCATACAAAGTATTCCTGCCTCCAATTTTATACTCTCAACAGTTCTGAGAGTATTGGCTGCATTAACAGAGGGATAGAATCAAGATCACGTGAAGTATTAATACCACTTTACAATGCCTTGGTAAGGCCACACTTGGAATACTGCATCCAGTTTTGGTCACCACGATGTAAAAAAGATGTTGAGACTCTAGAAAGAGTACAGAGAAGAGCAACAAAGATGATTAGGGGACTAGAGGCTAAAACATATAAGGAACGGTTGCTGGAATTGGGTATGTCTAGTTTAACGAAGAGAAGGACGAGGGGA